TAATAACAAAATTATATCATCAATCATTTATTTCAATTATAATCTTCCTACAATGATTAAGAAAGCAATCTGAAAATCCAGTTTTATTTTTTATAATCCAATTTCACCTACCTGAGGAAAAGTGCCTTTAAGAAGGCTCCATTTGAAATGGTATAAAATAAAACGGCTCATTCTGGAACACTATCTCTAACTCTGCTAACCTTGGATTGCAGTGTTTTATAAAAATATTGGTATCCTGAATGGTTTCTCAAATTGAAGCTGTAAGAAAACTTACTGCACATGAGGCTTTCCTGATTCCTGTTAGGAGGAAGGTTATCATATTCTGTGCCACCTTAAAATTCCAGATTATTTTCAATAACATGACTTCAGATGGTGATAATGTTTAAATGTCATCCCATCTTATTATACATAATTCAAGGAGGCAAATTTGTGTACTATTCCTTCCTCTTATTTTTCCCACAACAGCAAAGCTATGAGGTGAGGTTGAGAGCAAAAGGCTGGTCCAAAGTCATCTAGCAGACTTTCAAATGTAAAAGAAGCTTAAAGTTCAGACATCTGGTTTCTTGGCCAGCACCTTACTTATACTAAAACTGACTCTCTATACATGACTATTACAGTATAATCATTCAGATGATCATTACATTACTACTGTACACTCATGAACTGCAATGGCTCCTTTAGAAAAAAAAGTGTTCATAGCCACAATCCCAATAGTCCAGGCACATTTTCTAAAGTGACCCAACTCTGAACAAGGTTCCAATCCTTCAAAACTTCATGTAATATTTACATCAATGAAATATGCTGAGATTTTTTTTGAGCCCACAAACTTACTAAGATATTGGAATGTTCTGATTGTACACATTTTTACTGGTAACATATTTTGACATTCTTAAGTTTTAGTATGTCAGCTAGCAATTTCTTTTTCTCAAATGTTAACTGCTGAAATTGAGTGAAACAAGGAACTTTATGAAGTCTATTTTTTTCACTCCTGCTATTATTTCTTTTTTAAGAGCCCAAATAGAATACACTAACCTCCACTGACGTGCACTTCATAAAGTGAATATTTTGGGGATGATAACATTCGCATATCTGGCCGGAATTTTTCTGCAAGTGTTTCTATCACATCCTGAGTTGTGGCAGTGCTAGACACACGGATACATTTTGTTGCAAAATTTCCAGCTGCTTTGTCTTGAAAATAAAACCTCATAACTCCATGGAATTCCAGATCCTGCAATGAAATAAACAGAGTCAATTTGATTCATTTTGATTAAAATAAGCTTAAATATTATTGTTTAACTGCATTACATTAAGTAGAAAAAGTATATTAATATAGGGGATGTTCTACTTGTACTATATGTACAAGAATATTAAATTTGAAAATTTTCACATGAAATGGGATAGATTACTATAACAGGCAAAGGATAAACTAAAACTTCTTTTGCAGGAGTCTTGGGTTAGTGGTGACGAGGCCCCTATTGAGCTCCTTGGGTTTAATATTTGGCAGCTACCAGCAAAGAGGGTAGCTATAAAAGAGCCAAGGTGGCGCAGTGGTTAAATGCAGCACTGCAGGCTACTGCTAGATCAGCAGGTCAGCGGTTCAAATCTCACCGGCTCAGGGTTGACTCAGCCTTCCATCCTTCCGAGGTGGGTAAAATGAGGACAATATGCTGACTCTCTGTAAACCGCTTAGAGAGGCCTGAAAGGCCTATGAAGCGGTATATAAGTCTACTGCTATTGCTATTGCTATATTTAAATGGTTGTCCACTAGGACTCCAAGATCCCTCTCACAGTTACTACTGTTGA